GCACTCCACCTCGTTCTTTTTAAAATCCTCCCTCAGCTCATATGAGTCTAGATACAGTGCTGGTTTATAGCTTGAATTCCAATGTGTTCTTGAGAACACGTAATTGATAATATGAGAAACAATGCATTAAAATGGCAACTTTGAAACTTGCAAAATGGAAATGGTAATATATATTAGGTAGCTGGTGCCAGCCGTGGAGTGGTGGTTTTTTCCCAACCTGACAAGTGCTCAGGTTCCAGGGCCAAGTTTGATACAGGCACAATTTCTGTCCATTTTTGTTTTGTTGTTGTTGTTGTTGTTGATGCTCAGGTTCCAGGGCCTAATTTGATACCGGCACAATTTCTGTTCTTTTGTTGTTGTTGTTGTTGTTGTTGTTGTTGTTGTTGTTCTCCCACACACACACATTTTTACCCAGTTCAGATGTGGCCTTCTGTAATGCCCCCAAAATGTTCCTGGACACCTTGTAGGCTCACCAAATCCAAACATGTAAGAGAAGAGTGGTCAGAGGGTTGTTTCCCTTCCAGTCCCCCCCCCACACACATTTTTACCCAGTTCAGATGCTGGCCTTCTGTAATGGCCCCAGAATGTTCCTGGACACCTTGTAGGCTCACCAAGTCACTCATCCCTCAGCCTATGGTCAACCCAATACATGCTGCCTATGATGAGTGAATGATGATGATGATGATGATGATGCTCCCACTGCTCCAAGTAGGAAAACTGATTGGGCTCATATTTGATACTTAATTCAGCACTGGCAAAAAGGCAGCACAGCTGAAAGAAACATGCTTTAGAGCAGTGGCTCCTAACTTTGGTAACCCAGGTGCTCTTGGACTACAGTTCCCAGAAGCCTTCACCACCAGCTGTGCTGAGCAAAGTTTATAAGAGTTGCAGTCCAAGAACACCTGGGTTACCCAAGGTTGGGAGTTATTGCTTTACAGAAGAGATGGGATGTCAACCCCAGTACCTCATTGCTGCTTCAGGCATCTCCCCAGACCTCTGCTGTCTCTCTCAGTGTAATGGCAGGACCAGTCCTATTTGTGATACTCAGAAGTGAGATAAAACCTTTTTTTCTCCCGACACTTAGTTCCATGGCAGGAGAAGTGTTACCTGCTTAATGTGCTCATGCAACTCTCCTAAGGAAGGACCACTGCCCCGGTGGCAATGCTTGCAGCAAAGGATAACATCTAAATTAGTTTTACTGCATGCATTAGCCCTTTTACATTGTGAGGAAAAGGACAGGGAGAAGGCTTTCCCTGTTGGTGTGGTGTCCCTTCCCTCCACAATGGTGACTGAAAGAGCCTGCTCCCTTATAGGCAGAGGTGAGGAAACATTACAAGTGGCCTTCCTAGAAAGACTGGAAAGACCCAGGAAAGACAGAAAACACAAGAGGGAGGGGAAAAACTGGGAATCAAGCAAAACAGGCAAAAAAAGCAGGTGCTGTTAAAGTAGAGAAAGAGCTCGTGGAAGAATGGACCTGGATGGTGACGAGGGAACCCTGGACAGGAGAGTGGGTCCATCTTAGGATCTCTAAAGAGCAAGCCGAGAGGGAATGGCAAAGGCGAGCACTCCCAGAAAATCTTCATCCTGGGATGAGAGAGATCAGACAGAATAGTTGAAGGAAGAACGTGAAGAGACAGAGTCTACAAAGGGAGAAGAAGAAGAGGCTAAGAGAAGAGAGAAAAGAACTCAGGGCTAGGATGAGAGTTTGACAAACCAGGATGGAGTGGGGACCTTGATACACTTTAGTTTTAGTGGGTTTTCCTGCTTCTGTCTTATCTACCCCAGAGAAGGAAGGTGTGGGGAGCTGGAGGGAGACACTCTAACCATAAATGGATCCATAGTTGCCCAAAGAAGTTGCCCTGAATCTGGCTCCCACAATGACTCCAGAAGGGTTGTGGGACAAAGTGTTGCCATTACCAACTGAGTCATGGGCTATGCCAAGTTCTACTGTTAAGACTGAAGATAAGACAGATTTATATGAAGGCCCAGTGGAGATGGTGCAGGATAAGTTACTTGTTTTGTTAATAAACCCTGTTATATTAAAAGAAGATGATTCTCATCTTCCTTCAGAGTGTCAAAATGAGGAGGAGACTTGTCGATATGGATCACATGTGTGAAAAATTTCTATTCCAGTATCAGTTGCTGTTATGGAAGCCTGTTTGACTTGATCCTCAGAAGACAGCAATGCATTCATGCATGTTATTAGAAATTGGCAGAGGTTCCTGAAATTCATTTGTTGCTACGTTTCTTCCATTCCTCTTCTCCTAAAACTGGCTGGTAGGCTTTGTAAAAAGGAAAGATTCAAAAAGATGTCATTCCTGTCAATACAACCCTAATGCTCCTTTCAGAGATTTCCATGAAGTGGGGAGGCAGCCATGACTACATCGGCAAATAATATAGGAATTACTCCAGTATTCTCATGGTTGGATTTGTATTATTTTCTTTTGACTACATGAAGTAGAAATCAATGTGTATCAGACTGGCTTTTCCCTCCTCTAATCTGATTTCCCCCCTCTGCCATAAGGGTTTTTGCCCTTATCTCGATTTTGTAGATTTCGAATACAGTGGTGCCTCGCAAGACAAATGCCTCGCGGGATGAAAAACCCGCACGATGATTGTTTTTTGCGATAGCAATGGTGCCTCACAGGACGGCTTCTTCTATGGCCGTGCTTCGCAAAATGGTTTGGGTTTTTTAAGACCAATGCCTCGCAAGACGAAAAATTTCATTCATCTTGCGAGGTTCCCATTGGAAACTGCTTTTCGCAAGATGATTTTTTTCACAAGACAGTGCTTCTCGCAGAACGAATTACATTCGTCTTGCGAGGCACCACTGTATGTGAAGTGTATCTTCAGCAGGTAAACATTTATATCTGTTCAGAGAATGGGATGGTGTGGGAGTTATTTAATTTAATTGGGTTATGAAATAAAATAGAAATATGAAAGGTCTACACCTTAACAGTATTGCCCATAGCCTGAATTCTTTTTACTAGAGAAATACTTTTCTCTAGCACACAAAGGCTTTTCTCTACCATTTAGTGTACCTGTACCCATCCATGACCTTTCCTTAATAATTTAACATTACTAAAATATGTACTTGTTTCTGAGGATAGTATTTTTGTATGTTTGGATTACAGATCCCATAATTCTTCATTCTGGGAGCTCCACCTGAGAGATAGACACCTAAATGTGTATCCCTTGGGAGATAGTTTCTTTTTAAAGCTTAGGCCAAATCAAACTTACTAGTTTTTAAGGTGCCATAAGACTTTGTGTGTGTATGGTGAAATAGATAGAGTGATAGACTAAGAGGCCTGGTTTTTGTATGTTTGGATTACAGATCCTATAATTCTTCATTCTGGGAGCTCCACCTGAGAGATAGACACCTAAATGTGTATCCCTTGGGAGATAGTTTCTTTTTAAAGCTTAGGCCAAATCAAACTTACTAGTTTTTAAGGTGCCATAAGACTTTGTGTGTGTATGGTGAAATAGATAGAGTGATAGACTAAGAGGCCTGGTTTTGAATTCCTGCTTGGCCATGACAACATACGGGGGCAGGGCTAGCACTGGTAAACCATTTCCTTCCATATTCAATTTACCTGAAAGCCCTATTACAGCCAGTATGTCAGTCTGACTTAATGGCTCATAGCAACATTACATGGGTAGCAGGAATTAGCATAACTTAAAAGGACTTTATGAATCTTTCACAGATGCCATGTCATAACTTCACCTGGACATGAAAAAGTTGTGTTTCTGCTTTTACTGTAGTTTGAGATAGAGGAGCCCATCTGCCAGCTGTAGGGAGTCTTTCAACTCAGCCATGCATAGCACAGTTTGACAACCAACATTTCCACACTCCAGCTGGGAAAGTATGTGGCATTTGCCTCTTCTCACCACTGTAATCTCCTTGTTGCTGAAAACCTCTGGGGCTAGGGAGCAAACTATAATATGTGTAGTCTTATAGTTTGGCCTTTGCCTGTTGTCCTGGGTTGCATGCATCATTTTCTGAGCAATAAAATCATGGCTTAGAACCCCTTTGCCTAGTAGTTGAGGGCCCCTATGGAAAAAGATGAGCTCCTATTTGCTAGGATGCTGTTTTCCGTAAGAATGACTAATTCTAGCATGAATAGGATTTTGCTCAGTCAGTGAGCCTCAGAACGGCTGAAATCTATTAGTAAGTTACAACCAAACTAAGCCCACTGAATCAGTGGGGACTGGTGAATCAATTCCTCTGTACAGTGGTGCCCCGCTTGACGATTACCCCACTTGATGCTGAAATTGCTTGATAATGATTCCAATGGGGTTTTTCGCTTTATGATGACCGGTTCCCTACTTCGGGAACCGATTTTTCGCTTAGCGATGATTTTAAAACAGCTGATCAGCGGTTCTCAAAATGGCTCCCCGCTGTTTTCTGGACCTATTTCCAGAAGGCAGTGATGCAAAATGGCTGCCCCTATGGAGGATCTTCACTGAACGAGCAGGTATTTCCCCCAGTGGAACGCATTGACCGGTTTTCAGTGCATTTCAATGTTTGTTTGTTTTTCGCTTGACGATTTCGCTGTACAGTGATGTTGCTGGAACGTATTATTGTCGTCAAGCAGGGCACCACTGTAAATTCCATCCATTCAATGTCCTACTCTAAATGTTGTTATACTGGGTATAACTAATAGCATATCCAGTTTAGAGTCTTGTCTCTGTCATTGGCTGATTCAACTTGATATTTGCAAGACAAAGAACTATTACTGGATTTCAGCCAGTGATGTGTTTGCTAGAACAAAACAAAAAATAAAAGGGGGTTACCAAAATGGAACAAAACCAAAAATAATTTATGTAAATATGTGGGGCGGAATATTTTGATAATTGTGTTTTTGAAATATTTGCCAGGAAATAATGATTACTAACAGCATCCGATAATACCCCAAGCTTTTGGAAATAGGCTTGTCGGTGAGACCTTTGTACTGCTATATTGTGAAAAGAGTAACACATCATTTATGGTTTGTATGCAGGTGCTGCTTCTAGAATGGAGACTCGTGTGACTCCTCTGATGCCAGCTCAAGTCACCAGGGTA